ATCCCTACGCAAATGTATGTTCACGGTCGTTTAGCATGTTAGGGGAATTCGCCATGGGGAGAAACTTTATGGTTTTGGATGTTCCACTAGTGTCAATGTGAATTGAAGGCACAAAGTTGAGGTATCGCTTTCTTCTTTGGTTTTAGCAGGCAAATGGGGGCTCGCTAAATCCACGCGCACTAATCTCAACGAATAGCATATCTTCCAAAACTGGATCCCTTTTGGAGATTGGTTTTTCCTTCAGTGTGGACAATTTGGTACGTGCCTTCTGTCATATTTTTTTGACCCCGAAAACTAAACCTATACAAGCTTTATGCTATACTGAGCACGCGGTTCTACGAACCACCATTCATGCCGTGACGACCATGTAACGCGCAGCCAAGATGGCGGTATTCTTCTGTAATAACTTCACTGAATAACTTCATTGAACAATCTTTGAAAAAGTAAAGGTAAGGTAGAGGGGACGAACCTGTGTTCACAGGAACGGAGTGCCCATCTCTCTTTCGTTAGCGATTAGGCCAGACTCATATGCTGCTGTGGGGCGATCGCCACACCTCCACAGCGAGTCTGTTACCTTCCCAGCATTGAATAATGCCGGTACCTATTAACACCTGGGTTGAGAGGAGTAATTGAGGTAAAGCGCCTTACTCAAGGGCACAACACGCATGGCCACGGCGGGGCTCGAACCCACAACTTCACGATCATGAATCCTGCGCTCCACCGCTAGACCTTACGTGCTCATAATCTTTGAAGAGAAATCCAATCATGGTTGCGCGCCACTTTGTTTATGCTGGTCCCAGAATATCAGCTTAATGTCTACCCTCTGTATACCTATCTCACTGACTGACTGACCAACCGACTGACCAACCGACTGACCGACCGACCGACCGACTATCACTTGTATTATAACTGAGACTGTGATGGGCAGCGATATCGTATGTGATCACTCCGTGACGTCACTGAAAGGTCCATTCTGGATCAATTGAGTAGAATTGTGTGTGTTCTGTTGCCAGCTTTACTTGGCTTGCCTAGTCGTGCTTCATTGCCGCGTTGTTCTTTTTAGAATGTTTGCTTTAATTGATTATGTTTTCCAGGATAAGTGCGTCATGTCTAATCGTTGGCATTACTAATGCCATTTTCCTGTATGAATATATAATGAAGCAGCCATTTAAAAAGCCTTCATTATGTCTGCATGGGGTTGAAGAACTTGTGGAAGTCTTCGTCTCTTTTGCTAACAGTGAAAAAAGCGTCATGACATTGTCGCGACCATGATCTCAGTCTGTTATGGTTCTTCTTTACATACTTAATTGGATCAGCATCATTTTACGATACAGCATTTCGATATAGCTTTCAGTGCGTCTATGTGCAATAGCAACTGAGCGCGGGAGAGTGCACGCATGTTTCATCGGCAGCCCTTTCAATCGACCCAGGTCAGGAGTTCAAAGTTCACAGGGATACTACGGTCCAATCATCGATTACTTAGCTGTAATCGGATGAATCAGAGGACATCATTTTTTTCTCTTCTCAATTTGTTGCCACCCAATCACATGTCTGTTTATCCTTTTGGCAAATGAAGAACGGATTACTGTCTCTCAGAAAAAAAGGCGATCAGAAAAGAAAAGCTGGATGTGATATAGGCCTAGGTGAACTTTTGCAGACACGTGTGGAGCCCGGTTCTTGCACTAATTCCACCGTTGACCCAAGTCGCCAATGGGACCCGTGCAGGCATTGTGCGGCCAAATAATGGGACACTACACGGGAACATGGATTCTCTTTTCTTCCGCCATGGACGGTGCATGTATGTCGGGACGACCAAGTACACGCGACCTTAAAGGGAAGAATTGCAAGAAACAAGGGGGAGGGGGGTTATTTGTAGAGCTGTGTGCAGTTCACGTCACACTCAGTCAAGCTTTCCATTCAGTGCCGAGCTCGGGCCCCGGGACCTGTCATTCACCGCGGGCCCCTTGCTATTTACCCACCTCGTCTGTCAGTCAGTCAATACGTTGCTTGTTTGTTTATCTGTTGTTGTGGGTGTTTGGACGCGTGACGCGACGGCGCACGCAGCATGCTTATTCACCCCGGCATAGATTCCAGAGTGTGCAAATAAAACAAGACAGAGGGAGGAAGAGAGAGAGAAGTGCGGAGAAGAAGTTGAGATCATCTCACCCCAATAGAATGACATAACGAGAGCTTGGTAACTTCCTAATCGTAATCGAATTATCATCTGTTAAGAAATTGGTGAGCAAACTTGTATACAAACTACAATTTAACGGTTTGGTTCCGAGATAATCTTCACAGGAGAATAGTGCACCAGGGAGCATTTGTTCAGATAATGTGATGCTCTCGTCAATATTGGGGGGGGGGGAAGAGATGAAATCTTTCAAATTAAAAATTGAATTATGTGTTGAAATGACGAAATTCTCACTGATTCTGGTTTGATGAAAAGAGAACTCTTTTTATTGATTATCTGAATTACACACAATAAAAACAGATATCTATGAAATTAAACTCGGTGCGAAAAGTCCAGTTATCGGAATTGTTCATGGACTTGAATTCTTTAAATTTTGACCAGAAATTCTAAAAAATATTAAAAGTGAATACAAAAGTTCATAAGATGTTTAGTTAACTTTTCTTCCGGCGAAAATCAAGTTCTGAAGTAAATACGGTAAATTTCCTCGCAAGATTCCAAGGCGGTACTATAAATTAAGATGTACTATGTGCGGTGCCCACAGGAATTTCGCAGAGCTGTTCGTCGTTTGTCGACATCTTTCCTCCACTCTGTGGAAAATAAATGCATCCCGCCATACTGCGTCTGCGCACTTTGATGCTAGACAGTGCGCATGGGCAGGATCCCCCCTGTAAGACAAAAAGAAGTAAGAAGAGATGGGCGATTAACATTTCAGTTATACCACTGACCGAGAGAACAGACAGTTTCAGCATGGAGCTAGGAACTAGACGCATAGGGGAAATATTCTTGTTTTGTGTGGGGTGATCAAGGAACCATCACGCCAAAGCATTTCCTGAAACGCTGGAACACGGACTAGTAAAGAATTTCTGAAACCAAGGGCTCGCAGTGCGAGTGTAAAATGTTGGCTTATACTTCTAAAAGCCCCCTTCATATTTGAATTCAGATCATATTGATGGATCTAAGTATATGGAAAACACGGGATCTGATGAATTACACTTCATATTCTTCATGAACACCAAAATCTTTGCCGGAAGAATCGGTTGTTACTATCCCGACGTTGTGAGGAATACCGAAGGCCATATCCACTGTCAAGGTATACATTTGCATCCTGTGCATTGCCAAGTGGTTTTAAGGAAAGTGTCTAGGCCTCGTGTTAAAAAGAAGTCTGATGCTCCTATCTCAAGATGATTATCGTCTGCATGAAATCTGACTCCGGAAATCGTCAACACAAATTTTTTTTGTAACTGTTGAGAATGAAGTGCGCCCCCATTTTATGATTTTTATTTTTAAGTACGCATGGTACGGTACTCACAGTGACCTCCGTACGACAGTACTTTTATATGGCACGGCGTGATGCTTTTTTTTCATAATGAAAACTATAAGCACGAAATCACGTGAATAGTCGGAGGTTATGAGTGTTATGGGGGGGGGGATCAAAATTGTTATCTATGCAATGTGCTCGACAAATTCTCAACACCAGAATTCGCTCGAGGGAAAGTTCTCAAGTGAGAGGAGGGAATAATTATAAAAAAATCACCAAGTCGGCACATCGACTCGTTTCCGTTATTTAAAAAAAAAGACTGACTTGTGTGAACCATAAAAACACAATCGTAACAGTCCTACTTCCAAATGAATTTAAAAAAAAAAATTGAAGAAAATAGTCGGTACCAGGCTATGCTAGCTCTTTTCCTCGTTCCAAGTCTCATAGACTTGTACGTGGAAACCGGTACACTGCTGTGGCCTGCAGCAGGTTGGGCACACGACTACATGATGTCCCAAAAGGGTTCAGACCAGTAAATAGGCCCAAATTGCCCGTGCCGACCAAATCACGATTTGCATGCACTCAATTTATCCGGTATTAGAGCATTTTGAGGGCCGTGAACTGGAGAATTTGTAAAAAAGAAGGTTGGAAGCCGTGCAGAGGACTGAGAGCTCGTATTAGTGTGAAATTTGGACGAAATTTGGCCCTAAATGTCTCTATTTTGCAATGCAGCGTTGGCGTCCGTTTTCAAAATGGCGATGGGCTTCATGCCTGCTTTTTGGGGTGATCGTTTTTGGATGGGATTTTCTACCAAAAGTCATTAGTTAACCCTCAAAAAATTGAAAGGAAAATGAAAGATGATGAAACAAGCTTTAATCTGATGTGTGTTTCAAACATCTTGGAGAGTTGTGAGTATTTTAAATAATTTTCGGAAGTGCGAGCAATTATCACTGACGTCTATGGCAGTCTATTTGCTGGTCTACAACCCAAAACAGTTTTATAACTTCGAATCATTAGACGATGAATGCACGTCGTGCAGTCTGGCACATGGTAACCGCATAATGTTCACTAATACATTCTCTCTCACACACACACACACACACACAATGAAAGAAGGGGCACGAGCGTCGTTATTTGAGCGGGAAGGAAAGTAGCATTTGGGGATTAAGAAGTTGTGTACATGCCTCCCCTAAGTACGGCTACAAGGGGACAGGCGACGAGAGCGAGAGATTTTCAGATGTTTTCATTGCTAGCAACAAAGCCCATCCGGCCAGCGCACAATCAGTTTAAATTTTTTTAATCAAGGATTGTAATCATTGCAACTCTAAATGACAGCCGCTGGTATATCAGATGCGATTGGTTCGCTGGACCTTTTCCCCCAGACTAATAGATAAACAATGTTGGACATATTCCACTCGCTTCATCTCCCCACATCCATTTTTTTTCCAGAGCAGAATTCCCACCGAATTCTTTGTGGTATTGTCGCATACGTGACATCCATGTTTTCATACAACTGCTACCCCCTCCCTGCCACACACACACAACTAGGCACTTCAGCCACACAAGCACTTCCGCTGCCGAAATCTGTGCTCACATACCTTTACACGCATAGCGCACACATCTCTGTACAAATCCTACGGCATCCGCTACTTCCGGCCAGCACACAGTCCGTGGCACGCAATTTCGGCCACTTCGCAAACTCGGGTTTTTAGATCGGTCGCATTCGGTCGAAATTCGCTAGTTTCCTATTGGCCCAATCCCTTAGAATACGTCATCATCGGAGAGAAGAAGGCCTTCGGCATCTTTCGGCTTTAGTGCTTGAAAATCGATCAATGGCTTCCACTTGATCGCCAAGTTTACATTTTTCCGACCGTCATAATTCACATTTTGAGAGGACGAATCGTGAAGCACTAAGGTATGTATATATGAGTGTTTATTATAGATTTAGAAAATCAAAATATAAATGTCATATGATGGAGGGATTTTAAGCGAAACGCCGTTCTTTGAGGGGTGGTTTTCGGGGTCTGAGCAAACACCGCAACGCGGCAGCGACCGTGCACAGTGCACCGACCACGCCGCACGGAAGCTTCATTCTGCGGCGCGTGTTGTGTGTGTGTACGGTGTGCGCACGTGGTCCAGTCAGCCGCACGCGTGCCGTCCGGAAAATTGCAACAGATTTTTAACGCCAAAAACCATGCGTTCAATCGGGTTTCTACTTAAAAGATGATTTTCTCATGACTGTACATTAATGTACTGTTATTGGTTTGACTGTAATTCTTGATTTAATTTCGATATTTTCGCTTTTTTTACAGTTTAAAAATTGCTCTGCTCTCGTTACTTTTGTTGTTCGTTTTCGCTCAAGATGGCCGATACCATTCCTTGAATGGGGGCGTTTCAGAGTTATTTGTTTTTGTAGACGTTTCGTGATGGAATATTTTCCGATGATTACCAGTAAATGGATATCACAAATCAGTTTAATAACAATCAAACCATCTGTAAAGTTTTTGAACAAAAACCTTTCATATTTAAACGTAATTGGCACGTAGATTATTCTAAAAACAATTTAACCGAAATGTTTACCCCCGTGTAGAAATGGACGTTCCAATATAAGGCATTTTGCTGTGTGAGCTGGGTGAATGAAGATTGTGCGATTCTGAGTCAGAATCTGACAAAGTTTATTCCGAGCTTCAATTTTTTTTTTAATGAATTGAAATGATATCTTCATTTACAGTAAATAATAATTAGTTTTGAAGCATTTCTAAGTTTGTTTGCGTGAAAGTTTTGGCATTGATTGAAATTAATTTTCCAGGCATATTTCAGTACACAAAATTTTCAAAACTTGACCACTGACTGAGTCATTCATTTTTATTGAAAATAAAATCATGGACTCAGTACTTAAGTAACATAACAAATATTGTGTTTATAACTTGTTTGGACGTTTTGTTAATATTTATTTTTTGATTTCTTTTTCTTCGTTCGTAGATTTTGCCACTGCACTGATTTTATGACCGTACGCAGAAGTCGCTACAGATCTGTTCGTGGGTAAACTTCATCAATTCCTCAGTCCACGATTCATCCTCCATGGATAGCAAAGGCGATGAACCAGACTTTGGACGACAGGAAACGAATCATATATCTACTCCATTAATTATAGGGAGGAAGAAGAGGAGTGGGATTTTCCACTTTTGACAGATCTAAAGAAAAAGGAACTTATCATACTGGACACTCTGTAATTGTTAAAGTTCAACAGTTAGGGCCTTTTGTTGTGGATGGAGCTTCAGTAATGAAGTAAAGAAGTGGCGACTTAAAGAAAAAAACAATGTTCAGTTCATCAGGGGTACTGGGAAAGGAAAATAATATTTAGTTAGAATCAAATTGATTATTGTTTGACTTCACTTTTAGTTATGGAGTTTGCCCATCAATACTCCGCCACAATAGGCATTTTGCACATACCATTACATTTTCCCCCTTTTCTGAATCAATTTGTATGGTATTAGGTGTTGATTGTATTAGTTGATTAACAAATTAGTTGATGCTTTTTGGAAGACTTAATGCATTTTCATTCCTCATTATCATTTTACAAAAGATGAGTTCCGTTTGAATTGGCAGTGTGAGCCATTTACCATTGTTTGTCCAAAATCAAAACAACCATAACAGAGTTGTGTGTACAAGTGTATTTAGAAGACTAATTAAATATGCAAGATGTGTTATTATGCTAATATTTCACAGCTAGTAAAGATACCCTATATAATATTTTCAGTGAATAACCCAAAACTGATTCAAGTAAGAAAAACCTCTTCAGCATACTTGTTACACGTCTTTTCCCAGAAAAGATGTGAAATTGGTTATTTTCACATACATGTACCTGTAAATATGCAAATTAAATCATTAAAAAAATGAGTCGGGTTTTAACACCTCTATCTGAGCAACTATTTGTTACAACACTGTTGCATGCATGTGTATTATAGGTTTTTTGAGCAAAGTTAGGTTCGGAAATGTTTTTCTCCTCATTTTCACATAATTAGCTGATAAATTATGCAAATTTGGTAATTATGCACAAATTATAGATCTAGTTGCTTTCCCTACAGCCAAAATTTAAATACTTGTTTGAAATGTCATTGCGATATTTGTTTTGACTTGACTTTTTTATGTTGACACTAAAATATGCATAATTTTCCTCTAATTAGTAAATTAATTATGCAAATTAGGACAGTATTATTAAATTTTTTTGCACTTTTCAAAAGCATATTTTCATAATAAAGAGTAAACGAAATATCAAGCAAATCTGATACTATATTACAAGGATAAAAGAAAGAACAGCATTCCTCTTATTGTCTTTTCGGTGCCAAAACAGAAATAAAGAAAAACAAAGGATGACCTTTGACCTCTTGGCTAAAAAAATCCCTCACTTTCCGAAACTTAATTACCCGTAACTCCCTAACGCAATGACCGATTTTAAAAATTCCAAAAGATTTCTTCTAATGAAGACTCACTCTGTCAAATGGTATTCATTTTAGGTGCTTGTCCCTTTCATTAAAGAATCACCTGAACTGCCTAACACAACACACAAGCACTTTTGTCCAACTGTTTATAAGGGATGCCACGCGAATTCGAACATTTGATGAAATTTTATTTCCCCAAGGAAATTTAGACCGTTCCGCTAAAAAAAAAAAAAAAAAAAAAAAAAAATCGGGTCTTGCCGATTGCGAGGTTGGGATGACGCCCCGCGATGGGCCATAGACGTTGTCACGCGCCTGGCCGTTCGGTTCGGCTGTAGCAGGTCCCCATGGGGCAAAAAGCCTAGGCCTTCCCTTTCCCAACATCCAAAAAAAAAATCGAGCGTGGGATTCTATCAAGATGAGACCGTGGCGTTTTTTCTTTCAGGCGCCCCAGCCTAATTGAGACAAGTTGTTGTTTTTTTATCGTTTTATGGCAACTTCTTCCCCTCTCGATTTTTTTTTTATGACAACGGCGTGATTTGGGCTTAAAAATCCGCTTTGGACACGTTTTGTGGACTTCCGGACTCTAAACTTGAACGAACCTTGGGCACACGGAGTGACCCCAATAAGAGCCGTCTTGGAATGCAGAGGGTGGGTCTCGGGATTTTTTTTTTATATGTCCAGACAAAAGATCAAATTAATATTTCCAAGCAAACTTGCTGGTTCTGACTACAACAACATTGTTTCAATTACTACCTTGTAAACTTGGCTAGGAATTGATTGTGGTTTGGTTTACTTCGGTAAGTAGTACTTTCATTGTCTTCATCTCTAGTGAACCAGGTTCGAACCCACCTCGCATACCGTGTATGAGGGCACGACGAGTCGGCCCCCTCACAATCGATCGACATTACCCCGTAGAATGAGCTCCGATAACTTCGTGGCTAAAGATTGATCAAATTAATTTTCAATGATCCGTAATAGCTTTTTGTTGTAAGGAAAGGAAATACTGCAGAAATTTCTGGCCCAAATAAATTCAAATCATGTTTACATTAACTAGTTGCGTATAAGGTGGCATGAGGGCACGCCCCCCCCCTCCACTCGAAATTTGAGAAAAGGCCAAAATGAGCTGCTTTATTGCTAAACACCTGTTAAAAAGCCCTACCCCCTTCCGAAAATTAGGCCACCTGTGTTCTCCCCTCTGTTCCCATACAGATAAAACCGAAGTTAAATCGCTCTATTCGACAATTTCTAGATGTTCACTCAGATGATCTTAGTGTTGGTCCATTTTCAGGAGCTGAAACCCGCGAGGGCTTTCATCTTCTCGTCCAATCTCGCGTGTTCTCGTGACCATTTTTTGAATCTCCGCGGTAGCTTGCGCAATGCCATTGGTCATTCAAATACGTACGCAAACTATCCACCAATTCAAATACATCCACCTCAAATTTGGCAAAGAAAAGTGTTTTTGTTTTTTAATAAAGCTTACTCCTTTCAATGGTGAAAAGTCCCCAACTGTCTTGTTGTGGTTCACTCAAAATATCGAACTGGTGCGTTTGAGATAAAACAAAATAAAAATATAAATAGCAACATTTTCCCGCGATTGGAGCTGATTCCGGCGACATCTGCCCTACTTTATGGCGGCTGCATCCACTCCTTTTTTGCAGATTCCATTTAACCCAGAAAAAAATTATATCAGGTGCCCGGGGAAACACAAACCAAAGGGTGGAAGGCCGTTTGCCTGATTGTCCCCAAAGGGGACAAGCAAGGATCGTGGTTCCTATTAATGCGCGCACCTAATGTCCGCCTCCCTGTAGGCATCAAGAAACGAAACACATCACCGACCTGTGGCCTTATAGAATCACATCATTTTGACTTGCTTGAATCTGATGGCGAAATTATACCAGACAAATTGTACAATTTACTATAAACATGTTTCTGGTAAACGTGCGAGGATGAAAACCTGTAATAAAAGTTAAATAAAACAAATTACGCAGTGAGAATTGCTCTTAAAAGGTTTAGCCTATCGGGTTAAGATTGTTAGGCCTACTCATAACGCAAGTTTGTGAGTCATAATATTATAATCCTAATATTAGTTTCAGACATGAAAGAACTTAGGCCTGAGTGACAGTATTTTTTGTAAACAATTTGTGATTGTCACCGATGTGTTCTTGTTTTTGCTATACCAAAGCACTAAATGTGATTGTTATTATACAGGCCTCAATATTAATCTCTTTTTTTTAAGTTGACTGAAATTCTCAAAGAAAATTAGTTATCCAGTAATTTTTATACAAATATCATTTCAAATGTTTTCTATGAATAATAACTACAATTCTACACGTCGTGTTCATGAGCTTCAAGCAATCACCAAGTTTTCCGTTTTTGTCGGTCACAATTTGACCTGGAGTTATGACATCATAATCAAGTTTCAGAAACAATCTGGCCCTCTTTTCCGTCAGTTTAGCGCTAAATATACATGCCCTGTCCTTATCGGATTAACCTTTCTGGGGAGCTCAGAATGCACATACATTTTTTCCCCCCTGACAATTTTGTCCGAAAATCTGCATCATTTAACCTGCAAAAACTGGACGTGGTTTCAAGAGAGAAAACAAGGCGTCTGTCATGTTGCATTCCAGTCAAGATTCTTATCTGTCAGCGCATCTGGAGATATCACAAAAATAACAAATACCTAGAGAATTTATTTCAATCATCCATCATTCTCAGTTAAGCAAATCATTTTCTCAGCGCGAAAAACAGAGCTTTTCTCTTCCAAAGCTAGACACTCTCCAATCATTATACTATTTTGGGGGATTGTGATTCGCTCATAATTGAAACTTACAGCTACTGATTTCTTTTTATGGTGGGTGCTGGTGACGTCCACGTCACTTAGTCTAGATTTTCTGACGGGTCACCGTCATACATCACACGGAGCAACCTGCTAACAATTTGCCTGATGTATTTTTCTTCCAATTACATTTGTCACTTGTCCTCCCCGAAGACTTTATTTCTTCATCAATTTACCACACGGATGTGTATATAACCTGTGGCTTCCTTACCCTGCACATCCCAGAAACAAGCCTCCGGATTTTACGTGATCCATCATGATTTACACTAAATTCTTTTTTCTTTCTTTCTCTCCCTCAGTATTTCCAGGGCAACTGATCAGAAGGGGGAAAAAATGTGATTCATAACGCCCTGTGTTTGATTCGAATAAACACCCCCTTAGGGTGAAGAAAAGGAGACGACAGAAACAAACTGATCTAATTCGACGGGTCTTGTGACCCAAATCTTCAAACCGCGTCCGATTTCCAAAATTGCCATTTTGTTCCGAACAGAGTACCGAAAATTACCCCTACATGTTGCAAATTAGTCCAGGTGAACATATCCTGAAGGGTTTCGGGTATCTTTCGCGTTCCTGTTTTGTTCTGCCATTCTCTACCTCTTCTTCACACGCATAAAAAAAATTGCTGGATTGAGAAAAATGATATCAGTCAGTGTTAGCGTGTGTTTGAACATGAGGAGTGACTTTTTTCTCTGTCATTTTAGAAGTCGACTGAATCTACAAGGTCTTGTTGGGAATCCATTTTGAAAGGAAATAATGCCCCTTGGACTCGGAAAATACTTCTCTTTCACGCCGATTCGTTACTTACGGTCATAAATATATCGGTCATCGGCACCCTCGGCCGTTTTCTTGGCGTTTCGCCTTACTGGAGGAAAGAAACGAGAGACAATCAAAATAGTCCAAAATGATGTGGTTATCACAGCGTTTGAAGGCATCAATTAGGACGGAACTGTGAAAACACACCATTCGACGAATCTGATATGCCTCCGCGACGCTGTTCCCAAGGAGCAGAGTAGATCATATTTTACATAATGTCTCCAAGCGGAGTTTCTTTGATTTACTTCTGGTTGCTTCACTGTTTCCGAAAAGAATTTGCTTGCAACAGAAACCCCATATTCTCCCCGCAATTCTGGACAATCTGTGACAGTGTCATCTGGAGTTCACACGTGTTTCCCGTAATATAAACTCACCTTTCTGAAATCATCGTTTTATTTCTTTGTTCCCCTTTAATGGTGAACCAGAAACTCGCCCTGACCTATTTTTCAGCCTCCGTGTTCCAATTTTTGGGAAGGATAACGAGCCAAACATTTTCCATCCGAACAATAACTGCCGTCGTAAAAATACCACCTTTGCTCGTTGTGTTCTTTTGAACCCATTTTTTGTTTCATTACAACGACCGAATCACTCATGTCTTATCTTTACAACTGGTAATGACGCGGCGAGGTTTGCTTTATGATCGGCAAGCTGCCTTTAGCAAACGGGACGGGGATGGGAACTCCCGAACTGGAATGGGGCCTGTGCAAAGCCATTTATTTCCCCAGGCGGTTTAGCGGATCAGCTGTGGCCCAGAGCACCGCGCCGTATGCCCGTTCCGCGTAGGTGTATAAAGGGGGTGTACCTCGTAAACGCACCCGGCCGACTCTCCAGCCATTTACGAGGGTAAATATTTTGTTTGGTAGGCCTTCAAAAACTGGAACACCAAGTGCTGATAATGAATGGATTTTTCCAGCCATTGTTGTAACCAATAACTAGCCCCCTGTTTTGTTGGTTGTGTGGAGTGTCGGCCGCGGTGTGTGCACGCGTTGCAACGCGGCCAGGTGTGACAAGTAAACACCGCAATCACGTTTGCAGATAACCGGCAAAACCACAAGTTTTTCCTTTTCGTCCATTTTTAAGATCACACGTACTTTTTTTATTGTTCGGGACATAATTGTATCAGCGGGAAGTTCTTTCATGTCAGAAGTCGCTAAGCCGACAAATAAATTGTGTTCGCTTTATATTATTTTTCCTTCTCCCATGACAGCGTTTCGACTGTGTTTCACAGTGCATGTATCCGCATGTATTCAACACAATTGTTCCCTGTTCCGTGTAATGCTGTTTGTCGTTTGC